GGATTATCCGCAACAAATCCTTTGTGTACTATTCATTTGATTAATTGACACACACACACAGCTAACTTGCTTTTTAGCGTGTAGTTTTCCTTGTATTTGTTCCCTACCTATTCGCTAAGAGGCTATTTCAGCTACGTGCGGACCGGGTAGGTGAGCTCACGGGCTCAACCTGAGAGAATTGCTAACATTAGCCCTAACAAGAGCAGTGCATCGTAGAATCTACGGTGGATCGGAATCGCGACCGACTGAGAAGACCCGGTGACAAACTCTGTGGGCTATTTTCTTGTAAAACGATGGCCCGTTAATGAAAATGAATCTGTTATAAATTGTTTTTCATCTACCCTTAATCATTAAAAAACAGTATCGTGTTCAAAAAATCCCACACTTTCTTTTTATTGCGAGAATTGTTCAGAGGCTTGCCCTTCGTCTGTAGAATATCCATAGATGTATATGACGATGATCCAGGGATGGCTGAGCGGCAGTTCCGTTATCATTCGTATTCGGTGGAACTGAGTTTATTGCAATAATTGCAATAATAGTCAATAAAACCTTTTGAATAATAATTATTGTAACTCTCAACAAATAATTTTCACAATGACAGGATAAATCGTCAGTTTCGTTTCAACTGACCGACTGACTGACTGACTGAGACTGACACGACTCTAGTAACCTCGATGAGTTATCCTAGATTCGCCGAATTAGTAGGTGAGCTCACGGGGCTCAAACCTGATGACGTTGCTAACACGAACCCTAGCAAGAGCCGTGCTTCGCAGAATCTACCACCGGATCGGAAACGCGACCCACTGAGAAGATCCGGCGAGAAACTCAGTGGGCTGTATCTGTGACTTAATTTACTCGCCGAGCTCTTCGTCACAAGCGACGGGTTCGCCGAGAACGATGACCGGTGCTTGAGGTACCTCAAAGCACCGTTAGTGGATGGAGAGGTTCCGAGATGACGTGTTTCGGGCGACGTCGACTGTTTACCATTCGGTCCGCAGGATTGGCTATCTAGTTACCGGCAGTCACGACGAGAAGATTCTCGTGTCGTGCCGCTTTATCGAAATGGCGCATTGATGCCGAATGTAGATGATTACTGATGGACTCTAGGGCCAGTCGTCATGCAGGTTGACATTCCTGACAAACCACTGGGCTCCGACGGCTATCCTGCAAAAACGGGATAGAATGATTTGAAGAGACGACTCTGTCCCCGTACCGCCATTTTATACTCTTACGCGTTACGGCGTCTACTCTACATTTTTATGATATTTATCAAAACGACATTTTATCATTTAAAATAATAATCAAAACAATGTCTTAATATATTTATTCCGATGAACAATAGTTTTAACATAATGAAAATTTGTCATAGTTCCTATTTCCTGTGTAAATGAAAGTGTAAAACATACGATTAATATATTTTAACCCAAAAAAAATTAAATAAACGAATGTGAAATTTATCGGTAATCTGACCCACTCTAGGATTCTCTGTACTGCGGGAACCAGAAGAAAACAGAAGCGCTTTCAGCCAGTGACACATATATATAAAGTTTATAGAAACAAACCAGATGCACAGCGACCACTAATGATATGGCCAATGACAGATAACAAGACGAAAACAAACAAACCCACGGCAGGAGCAAAACGTTCTCAAGGTACAATGTACTTGGCTGAAGGCCAGCGTAGTGAGCCGCCCCAGCTCGTAGCGCTACGGCCGGAGTCTTCACCGAGCGACTATGCAAGCTTTTGGAATCGCCGAGCGGTTTCATTGAAGTACTGTTTAATTTGCAGTACTGTTTAATTTAAAGTACTGTTAAACCTACGAATAAACACAGGATAAACAGTCGATAACGACTCCTCTGTAAAAACGTTCTCCAGTGATACTCTTACCAAAACTGTTCGTTCGGTTAAGTTTATAGGTATAGTTTAGCTAATGACCAAAGGTAAGTTATACCTTGGTATCATGATACCTTAATAACGCTTGATATAAATAAGAATAGAAAATTTTGACGAAGCATGTTGCTGATAACTTTTATTTCTGTAATCTGACGAAGCATGTTGCGGATAATAACATGTACTTTTAGGTTAGGAATATTGTGTTCTTTTTTTTTATAATTTAATAAAGATTAATAAGAATAGTAACACAAAATTAAAACAGAAATAATACTGACTTTAACAAAATAAACTGACAATATTATAAATGTAGCCGAAGTCAATTATATGTACATTACGTATTACTCAAAAAGTACTGGTCAGATTTTTTAAATATTGGACGCCTGAGAAGCACAAGATTTCACAAAAAAAAGATTCATCAAATCGATTTACCTAGAAAAACATTCAACAAACATGTAACCCACATAGAAAAAGAATGTTCCTAGAGACAATTTGAAACTTGAAAGAGCATTGCCTACTGATTTTCTCGCCGGATTTTCTCAGTGTGTCGCGATTCCGACCCGGTGGTAGATTCTGCGAAGCGCTGCTCTTGTTAGGGCTAGTGTTAGCAATGCTCTCAGGTTGAGCCCGGGAGCTGACCTACTGGTCTGCGCGTAGCTGGAATAGCTTCTTAGGCTACCAGCGAATATATAGAGAAGATAAGAGCATTATTTTCGAAGATAAAGCTTGTTACACATTTTTCACTCGTTGCGTTCGTCACAGTTTTACTTTATGTATTTTGCCTTCATCTGCCTGCATCATGTCAATCAAACATTATACATCCTAATAAGCTCCAAGCTACAGACTCAGACTTATAAATAAAAATAAAAAAGTCTTGTATTTCCTGCTAAAATACAAAGTAAATAGGTATTTAATGTTTATCTATCCACACTAATGTTTGGCAGGAACCCATTAAACATAGTGAAGGCCTCCTCCAAGTCTTTTCATTTGGTTCTATTTTGGGCTACCTGTATCCATCGAGAGTCAGCAATAGCTGTTATATCGTCCTCCCATTTTGATATGGGGTGACCCTTTTTTCTTTTCTCTTCTTGTAGTCCATTAAGTCTTGCTACTCAGACTCTATTCAGATTCAGACTTATCCAGAAAAAAGTAAGTCACGAAGTAAGTCACGCTACAACGAAACCGCGTCTTATTCATGTGCGGCCCTTTGTTCGCTTCCTGGTGATGCATTTATTCTTAAAGTACATATTTTTATAACGTGTTTTCAGGGAAATTCGTAATTCAGTCTTTATTAAATTAAGTGTAGAACGACTGATTTCACTGAGCGTTTTGATAGCCAATTCATTATCCGTTTTATTATATTGAAAAAAAAAATTTTAAGCTCTCTTGTTGTCACTGAAACGCAACAGACATTGTCAGGTAATGTACTAAAATGCACAAATCAAAATAAGTCCTGTTTACGTTTGAAAATCATAAAAAACAAATTAACATACTACTTGTTGATTAAATACGTGTATAAAGTATTTCATATGTATCTTTGTAAAATTTTTGTTGCGAACTGCCTTTATAATTTTATGTGTATTATCTATGCGAATATAGATTAACGTTATTGTGAGCAAAAATATTAGATCGTGTTTATAAAATAAAGAAATCTAATAAGAGTTTTAATGAAATACTGTCTAATTCTACTTAAAGTTGTTTACATATTGAATGACATTTAAAATCGCGTCCGAAAAATAACTTAGGTCTTTTTCACACAAATTTAAATTAGCTTAAACACGAATCTTTTAAAATGATAAGTATTCATAGTTATGCAAGCCTCAAACCCAAATCTTTTAAAATGATAAGCAGATCTAGATTAGCACCACTCAATCTTTTCCCCTGGGTGGCGTAAAGGTGACTGAAAAATTATTCGGAGAATGAACAGAAGCAGGGTTCTCTGAATATTGTATAAGCGTAATGCCATTGGAAGCCTGCATTTGGTCTGATGGTAAAGTGTAGGTATAGTAGTATTAGAGTTGATAGATATAGAAATTCCTTATCAAAAAGAAAACATATACATAGAAAGCAGTGACAAAAGCTGTCATAAGAATAAGTGAAAAATATCGGTCACTTCGTGAAATAAAATAAAATAAGAAAACTGTGATTTCGATAATAAATTCTAAAACATCGACGTAACTAATACTAATTCGTAAAAGTGTGTTAATATATTATTTCGTAACTGCCTGCACTCTGCGATTTAAAGATTGGACCCTGTGCTACCAAGAATTTTAAATTATATCAAGTAGGTCCTACTGCACGGGCTAGTACCAGCATCCTGCCTATAGATGTCAATGATGTCGCGAAGCTATCATACGTTCCGACTTAAAGAGTTGCACAGCTGCTATAGTAAACAATTGAACTATTTATACTAACACCACGTATCTATAGGTAGCTTATCTATGTAATCTGTAATCACTTCACACCAGGAGATGAGTTCCTGTACCCATCTAAAGCAATTTTTATTTATTACGGTTTCAAATTCAGAAACGTAAACCACATAAAGTGTTTCGCAGACGGTCCGTTACCTGACTTATCAACATCACAAAGAGTATCCCATCAATCACCTTCAGACATGATAAACTAAATCAGGACTTTCAATTAATATATCAATATTATCGCGATCGATGACAAGTTTATTACTGGTGGTAGTATCTTTTGTGAGTCCGCGCGGGTAGGCACCACCACCCTGCCTATTTCTGCCGTGAAGCAGTAATGCGTTTCGGTTTGAAGGGTGGGGCAGCCGTTTAACTATACTGAGACCTTAGAACTTATATCTCAAGGTGGGTGACGCATTTACGTGGTAGATGTCTATGGGCTCTAGTAACCACTTAACACCAGGTGGGCTGTGAGCTCGTCCAGGCATCTAAGCAATAAAAATAATAATCATAATAAGTGAAAGTAGTCACGACTCCAATTCACAAAACTCATTCAAAGGCTTTATTCGTTTTTAGAAGAAAGAAAAAAAAACGTTAAAAATTCAAATTACATATGTCCTCGTGCAATCTTAGACAATTTATTGATTACTCCGTACAATTAATTTAAGTAACATACGAAAAACACCAGGGAAGTATAAAACGTGGGATAAATCAGAATGACGCTTGCTTTAAAACAGTCTCTCTCCGTCGAAGGGAGCTCCGTCTAGCTCTGGTTGCCTGGTACCGTCGGGCGGCAGGCCCCAGCGCGGCCGGCACCCGTTGTGCGCCCGGTAGCGCGGGATGCGGTCGTCGCGGACCAGCTCGTAGGCCAGCCGCGCCACGCCGCCCTGGTAGTCGCTCAATCCCGTCCGGTACAGACAGGGACGGACGTATCCCAGAACTGGAAGAAGTGAAAAAACCTTCTATAAATTTTTTTCCTTTTTTTTCTTGCCCTTGTTGGCAGACGAAACTACATGAGCACACGACCCAATGTATTCATTGATTTCGACAAATTATTTTAATAATTGATGGATAAGTTTGAACTCTGTTTTCGCACTACGAGTATATATTATATTCCTGCAACAAATTTACTTTTGCATGACTGAATCCAATTTCGATTCCTTTGAATTCATTTGGATCTCTTTATTCCCAGATATTCTTACACGAGAGGTATTTATCTTACCTCCTCAGTGGTTCTGCGTATTTTTTTTTATTGCCCTTGTAGGCAGACGAGGATACGGCCCACCAGATGGTTTTTTTTTTTTTTTTTTTTTATGATTGAGAGATTACTGGTGGCCCGAAGGCCTTTCCAGTTTCACCAGGACAGGTGGGCGAGCAAAGGCTCAGCCAGGAGGGGTGGGATTTGCTAACAGCTGCCCGAGCGCCTCCGAAGGAGACCTAACAACTCAAGAGCAATTGCTTCGCGAATGAATCTACTACCGGATCGGAATCGNAAGAAAGAAAAAAAAAAAAAAGGAAACAACAAAATAAACCAAAACAAAACAAACACTTCCAGGAACACACTTTGTCGGCAGATGTGCCACGAACAAAAGCCGGGTGAACAAAGGCCGGGCTAACAATAAAACCAGGCGAACAATGGCCGGGCGATTGAGTGGTCGGTGAGCACGTCCGCAGGCGGCGGGTGCTTCTGTCGGACTGGGTGGTGATTGGTTACCGTCACCCATAGACTTCAGCAATGCCAGGGGCAGAGCCAAGTCGCTGCCTATCGTTGAGTACTCTCCACAAACCTCGTTTGAAGAAGGACATGTCATACCGCTCGAGGTACATCGTGGAGGGGAGCTCATTCTAAAGCCGGATGATACGTGGCAAAAAAGATCTCTGGAAACGCACTCTGGATGAACGCAGTGGCTCCAGGTAGTATGGATGAACTCTACTCCCTATGCTGATAGCCTTGAGAGGCTATTTCAGCTTCGCCTTGACGTGTAGGTGAACTCACGGGGCTCAAACCGGGAGTGTTGCTAACACTGGCCCTAGCAAGAGCAGTGCTTCGCAGAATCTACCACCGAATCGGAAACGCGACCCACTGAGAAGATCCGACGAAAAACTCAATGAGAAGAAGTGCAGAATGTTAATATTTTTTTAATTTATGCATTAAAAATACGTTAAATCAATAAATAAAAAATTACACACACTACCATGTAGGTATTTGAAACAACACATAATTTATATACCCTTTGCTTATTGTCAAACTTTTATTATTGCTTATATGTAGTTTGAAATTGAGAATAAATTAATATTGTTTATCTTTAATATTATTTGTCTATAGTGTAGTCTTGGCGAAATTTGTGATTATAGAAGTATAATAAATAGTCTTTGAAAATATGTAGCATCATAATAGTGTACAAACTTATAATTTCAATTAATTATAGTCGAATTTCGACTATCGGGCGACCACTAGTTTTAGTAAAATTAACAAAATTACCATTTAAACGTGCCAAACATTTGACAACAGCAAAAAAAACTGATTTATCGTGCCTCAAAATTGAAAGAAATCGCCAACCAAACCATTCAATTCGTAATAATACATTGTGGTTTATTTGTTATGTTCTGAATCAATAATAAACACGTACTCACCGAATTGTTACCGCAATAACGTCATAACCGCTCCGACGAATGCAAAACAAAACGATACAATGCCATTATAATCAATCACTCTGACCATTGAAGCAAAACTAACACAGTCATAGCGTGTTCCCTTGTGTGGCTTACACAGTGTTGTGCGTCGGAATTGGCGCTAGATTTTTAAATAGTTTAACATTTTCGTCGCCTACGCATTTTACAATCTAAACTAAACGTTTACAAGGTGTCGCCACATTAATCTTCCAAATTAACAATAAATCTTATCGGTTTTTATCAATTACTAGCGGACCCGGCAGACTTCGTTACGCAAAGGAAAAACTATTTTGTTGTTGTTTTAGTAAATTCCGATCATTTTCATATATATTCACCTTTTAAATCTTCTCTGGACTCCCACAAATAATTTAAAATCAAAATTAGCCAAATCAATCCAGCCGATCTCGAGTTATAGCGAGACTAACGAACAGCAATTCATTTTTATATATCAACTAGCTGACCCGGCAGACTTCGTAGTGCCTCAATCGATAAATACAAGACAAAAACATCCGTCCGATGGGGATTAAACCTTCTCTGGACTTCCACAAATAATTTAAGACCAAAATTAGCCTAATCGGTCCAGCCGTTCTCGAGTTTTAGCAAGACTAATGAACAGCAATTAATTTTTATATATTATATAGATTATATTATTATTATAAGGAATACAAATTATCATAATAATACGCTACGGTTCTAATCGTATTCTATTACGAGTACTAATTAGTTATTGACCTTCTTTTTTTCCCCACCTATGCTGATAGCCTTGAGAGACTATTTCAGCTTCTCCTTGACGTGTAAGTGAGCTCACGAGATCAAACTGAGTGAATTTTCTAACACTAGCCCTAGCAAGAGCAGTATTTCGCAGAATCTACCATCGGATCGGAAACGCGACCCATTGAGACATTCCGGCAAGAAACTCAGTGGGCTGTGTCTGTGGGTTAATTTACTCGTTGAGCCTTTCGTCGCAAGCGACGGGTTCGGCGAGAGCGGTGGCCGGTGCTTGAGATACTTAAAAGCATCGCCAATAGATCGGGAGGATCCGTAATGACGTGCTTAGGGCCACGTCGACTGTGTACCATTCGGTCCACAGGATCGGGTATGAAATCCGTTAACAAGACTAACTAACTTCTAAGATGAGTGGGCAGCGTCTCTAGAGTCGGTTCGTCCATGTTCCGTTCATAAATCTCCTTTGCAAGTTTCATCAGCTCCGTGTCCTTGATGGCCAGCTTCGGACCTAACTCTGGTATAGCTTCCACCACCTGGTCGCCTTTTAGCGCGCAAGGTTTGAGTTTCTTATCGCGCGGTTTGAATGGACGAGTTTTGAATTCTTTTGCATGCATCAAAGAAAAGATAATGGAATACATATTTATAAAATTCTAGTGAGTCTAGTGAGACCGAAAATTTATATAACTAATTAGGTTTGATTTCGTTCCTATATTTTTAAATAATGGAAGTATTCTCTTTAGATCCTAACTCTCTTCATTCCCCCTCTTTCCTCCGGTAACCACTACCACTGATAAACAAAAGTACCTACACATATTCCAGAGAACTCACGTTTGGAATACTTTATTTACACTGTTAATGCAACTCTCAACAAAAAATAATGAGAAACTTTTAAATGTTGATTTTAACTGGCGGTAGGACCTCTTGTAAGTCCGCGAGTGTAGATACTACTACCCCGCCTATGTCTGCCGTGAAGCAGTAATGCGTTTCGGTTTGAAGGGTGGGGCAGCCGTTGTAACTATACTGAGACCTTAGAACTCATGTCTCAGGGTGGGTGGCGGCATTTGCGTTATAGATGTCTATGGGCTCCAGTAACCACTTAACACCAGGTGGGTTGTGAGCTCGTCCACCCATCTAAGCAATAAAAAAAGCGATTTTCTCAAATACGATAGCTAAATGAAAACCATCGGTAAATAATAACGCCATCGAAATAATAACAATTAAAAGCGGCAGATTAAACCGTACAAAAATAGTTTTTAATTGTATTTGCGGATTACGAAAAACGAAGGAAATACTAAACTATATTTATGTATTGAAATCAGTTACCTGGCGATAAGTGCGCGCAGTAATCATTGTAATAAGTGGATTGTCCGCGAAGGCTCTTCATTGTTGTCTTTATGAAATTCTCGATTTCCTCATCCGTCCATTCTCTCTTTAAAATGACAAAACTATTAAGAGAATATATATAAACTTTGCTTAGAGAACTCATCAAACTCATGAGAAAACTATACCTAAAGATCTTGTAATTATCCGCCAATCAAATTATAAATCTGACGGATTTATTTTTTGTGTAGAACAGTCTTTATTACTCCTCGTTAATTACTCAGCAGAACATAAGTAAGTTACACGTTGTACTTCCTTTTTTTATTGCCCTAATAGGCAGATGACCATATAGCCCTCGTGATGATGAGTGGTTACCATCGCTCACGGACGTCAGCAATGCCAGAATCAGAGCCAAGCCGCTGCCTACCGTTATACGGCCCATCTGATGGTGAGAGGTTACCTAAGTTTTCCGAGCCCTTTTATCTCTGGTGCCCAATTTTTGCAAGTGCCCTGGGCCTCCAGATTCATAGGAAGTGCGGAGGTCATCTCAAATCACAGATTGATCTTTTTTTAGATAGCAATGTGAATGTCTGACTTGGTATTAAAATTCCACTGGAGGCCATAGACATCAGCACAACGTGAATATCACCAACGTTACGATTGATGCTTTTTACAACGGCACCGCGACTCGACATGCCTTCACAGTATATACATTTTAAAGATTAATCCGCAGTTATATTACAAACTTTTTAAAGTTTAATTTTTAAATCAAAATGTTAACATAATCATAAAGTAGTCTTACATCCTGAGTGCCGCCTCTCGGGTCCATCCAATTCCCTTCCAATTTCGCCCATCTCTCCTCCGGGCGACATCTTAGCATGAAGAAATATATTTCAACATTACGATATTAACTTTGATAGGCAAACCAGCTGGCGGTCACTACAGAAAACACATCGTGAATGCGAACCTTGACTATTTGGCGGGAACGCGAGGAGCGAAGTTGTACGAATTGCTTTTTTTTTGATATTTTATTGTTTCTTCAAGTTTAAAAGTGTAATAACGGTGGTTTATTAATATTTCGTAAAATCTATGAAGGTATATGTAATTCAATTCAAGTTTCAAAATTCAAACTTCAAACGCAGCTCAAATGGTGGTAAAGAGCCAATGCGAATGTAGGCGACCTTGAAACATGAGGCCCCAAACTCAATTATTACTTTTTATTTTAATCCTACCTAAGCTGGTAGCCTTGAGAGGCTATTCCAGCGTAACCGTAACTAGTAGGTGAGCTCACGGAGCTCAAGCCTGACGACGTTGCTAACACGAACCCTAGCAAGAGCCGTGCTTCGCAGAATCTACCACCGGATCGGAAACGCGACCCACTGAGAAAATCCGGCGAGAAACTCAGTGGGCTGTGTCTGAGAGTTTAATTATTACATATAACGGCTGAGCTACCGAAACGGAAAATTAATAATAATAACATATAGATACTTACATTTTCGTTTTCTTAATCGGGTGCTGACGATATTCATCGAAATATTCTGTTAAGAACGACATCTTTCACATCAAATTTAACATCCCTAACATATTAAATTAAAAAGTGTACTAATCACGTGTATAAAACAATGCACCTACTTATAAATAAACATTAAAATGACATCAAAACCAATCAAAAATCACATTTGACAATTTGACAACCTTTTTAACGCTATTTGGCAACTGTTTGCGGTTCCTAATCGACTGAATCCTCGTCGCTAACTTTTTTCATAATAAGGACTGAGTTACTGCGGTTTCGCATGTCAACTACAAGGTTTTTTTTCATGGTCTTGTAAACATTTTATGTTGCTAACGGTTGACAAATAATTTGGAGGATATTTACATATTTAATTTGTAGTTCATTGCCCTGCGGTGTCACCAGTATTTTCATCTCCAATGAAGATTCCAAGTCTAATATCCTTAGGTGCATAAATAATTCTCGCAATTATTCGTATCCATCCCGGTATTCGCTGGTTAAATTCTATTTAAGATTCGAAACTCTGTATTGCCATTTTCAAATTTAAAATTTACGTATTTACCACTGAACTATTGCTACGGTAGATACGACTACAATAAATTAGAATCTAATTTTATCGAAGATTATTAATCGTTATACGTCAGCCAACGGCTGGCAACCCCCGGCCATCCATTCGCGACCTCTGCACCGTCGTATACATTTAATATCCACCGCAGAGCGTGACCGGAGCCAGTAAATCATCAGATAGCCGTATTTTTAGAGCTTTGTCGTAAAATCGTATCTGGTATTCCGAAGGTCATGTTCAGTTTTAAACGAATGCTACAGTTTTGTTTTGTATATATACCTAAGAGAATATTGTTTACTTTACTAATTTTCAGTCCGGAGCATCGCATGTTAAATTGTAAATCAAGTGTCGATGATTTTCACATTCTTTTTCTAACAACTTATAGTATTATTGAATTTATTATTATTAATAGTATAATAGTAGTATTTTTTACTAGTGGTAGGAAATCTTGTGAGTCCGTGTGGGTTAGGTACTACCATCCTGCCTATTTCTGCCGTGAAGCAGTGATGCGTTTCGGTTTGAAGGGTGGGACAGCCACTGTAACTATACCGGAGACCTTAGAGCTTATATCTCAAGGTGGGTGGCACATTTACGTTGTAGATGTCTATGGGCTCCAGTAACCACTTAACACCAGGTGGGCTGTGAGCTCGTCCACCTCTCTAAGCAATAAATAAAAAAAAGCTTGGCTTGTTTATTTTGATTAAGCAGAAAATTCTTTTATCGTAGAAAAGACAAGTACAACGTTCAGCTTAGATCGAGGTTACAGAAATTCATGTCGATTACAAAGAATAATCCGCTGCTCGAATAATTGATAGACGTTTTTTATCTTATCCTCCTTCACACCACCACTAATTCAAATTAGATGCCGTCTCTAAAATTGGCCAAAAATACGTTATAAATGTAAAATACTTACGTAAAAGAAGACTGTGCAGTCTGGCTTGTCTTAAGTATTGTAAAATCACTAGTCCCATACAAGGGAGCTTTCAATTGTCGACAAAAACTAAATAACGTGATGTGTTATACGGGCCTTACAAATTGGGATATTCTAGCAACGAATTTACGTATTTACTACTATGCAGAAATATAGCATGTGTTGCGATGATTCTGTCATTCCGTTTTCCCAGTTCATCCTCTTTCTCGCAACTACTGTGATCCTCGAGGGCGTTTTAGTCTGATTTATGCCACGTGCCAACCTCCTCAATTTCTTTTTTATTGCTTAGGTGGGTGGACGAGCTCACAGCCCACCTGGTATTAAGTGGTTACTGGAGCCCATAGACATCTACAACGTAAATGCGCCACCCACCTTGAGATATAAGTTCTAATCTCAAGTAGGTATAGTTACAACGGCTAAGGCTCTGGAATGAACTCCCCTCCACGACGATTTCAGAGAGCGTAATTCCAAGGGTTTAAAATCTATTAGGCATTCCAGGAAGTTTTCTGTCCACCCGACTTTCTAATGACCATGAGCGACGAAGTAGTCAAGTGTTTCCCTTTGCTGCATGGAGCTCCCCTATACTATTCAATTGAGACTTCCATCTCTTGTTTTAGGGTGGGGGTGACATTCGCTTTGTCTATGAGCTACGGTGTGCACTCCGCGTGAACCTCAAAGAGACAACAAGGGCACCTACAATGAGACATACAATGGGTGCAACGGGTGTATAATTAAGAAAAACACAAAACTAAAACTATATGTATTAAAAGTTTTTATTTCATAATATGATCAGTCATTTAATACGATCATCATACATTTGTTTTTGTGGCGGTACCACTAACAGATACAATATACAAACTTTTACATAATGTATCCTGGAAAACTACGTATTTGAATATGTACTTATTCAATTTTAGTCAGTGGCGTGCGATTGATTTTATTGTCCAAAGGCTACATGCGAATGGTCACTGTTGCCTTTCTAACATCAAATATAGATTTTCTATCCAGCGCACTACACTGAACCACATGCGCGTTGATTAATTTAAACCATCATTCGCTACTGATTGTAATGATATACTATTTTAAATAATTAAATGCCGAGAGTGACAAGCAAGATTGAAATCGAATTAAAATGGTTGCCATCACGCACACTCGTAATGACCAACTAATCAAGATTCAAGACAAACTTAAATAAGTGCAAACTAATTTTATATATGTTATTATAACCTTGCGCCGTAACTCATGCGAGTCCAGTGCGCTTAGTGCGAGTTTCTTAACGTTCTCGATAGCGTAAAAGTTAACCCAATTTTGTATGCAGTTGGAACAGCGCCCCTAGCGGCAAACGTACGCAAACAATGCCATTCCATACAAATATGAGCTAACTTTTACACTATCGAGTACGTTAAAAAACTCGCACTAAGCACACAGAACACAAGGCGAATGTACTTGTTAAATTCAACTGTTACAACACTTTCCGATGACCTGGCTTCTTGTATTTTAGACAAAACTAAATGTATTCGTATATACTTTGCTATATGATAATGTATTCAATATCAACCAAGATGAAGTTGATTTTTCTGAAATTTCAATAAATTTTGATGAAATTAAAAATCCAGTTTATTTGGTGGGAATTTATTAAGATTTTATTGAACTTCTTCGAAAACCCAGAAGATTCACGTCCAACGACTTTATTTCAATTTTCCACACTTGCGTTCCCGCCAAAAATCCTGATGGTATGGTTGCCATTATAAAAATGCACAACCCTCGTATGCAACGGAATCCTTTATGATTTTAGTTTTAGTTTAGTTCAGTGATCAGACTAAATTGAGAGTTTATCAGATAATTTTCCTTTCAATTCCATATCCTCCACGTAAATAGGCTGACTGGTTATTCATCAGAGGAAGCCATAACTAACTGATCCTACATTCCTTTAGCTCTCTTACCTTCTATTTCTCGGATTCTTCCTCCATCCTGTTCCAATTATAGTGGTGATGGCTAAATCTCACACCTACACTATAGTGAAACATACGTGTTCTAACCTGATAGGTGGAACAGCCATCTAACAATACTACAGACATTTCTGAAAGCCAGACCAACAAGAAACATTTTGGGTTAAGAGTATCAGTACAGAGACAGTTTGACCAAATACCCCTTTTGAGTCGCAGACGATAGGTTCATCGCCATCAGAAGCCACAAACCGAGAAAGTGTTCAGATTATCAGGTAATTTATTACCTAATCCAGATTTTTATTTCGATACATATTTTAGAACAGAATAATTGTTGGTAGAATATAAATAGATAGGGCACTATATATGCCAATACCACCGTGTACAAACATTTTAGATGTAATCATGTCTGAATGAGCACTGGTCACATGTCACATTTTATTACTAGGGACAAGGCAACAGTGATATTTCTTTGTGGTGGAAGTAACAAATTTCTTTGTCCTTAAAATAATTTATTATAGAAAAGTTAAAGAATTCGTTTCCAGTACCTACATATAAAACATAAATTTTTTGTTCCATACGTTATATTAAAACGATTCAAATCTTATTTTAAGAGATTGTTTACAAGAGTACTCTTACTTCATTTTAAAAATTGCAAGTTTATTTTAAGTGAATTTGATTGCAGAAAATCATAAAGTTAATTATGAGATATTTTATTCATTCAATTTAAAACTCTATGTTATATGTCGTAGAGCAACATATTCGATATCAGCACAATATACAAAAATACATCAGCGCTATCAGAGTTTCAACAAGCACATTCCTCGGGCAACGCCGCGTAACAAAAACTATTGAACATTAACAAACTAACGTAGTTATGAGTGATCCTTAACCAATTACAATCTAGAAACAAGTTAGTTAAATCAAATTTCATATTATTCTCTTACTGAAGCTGTACAGGACGCGATCAGCTCAGCCGGCCGCGCCCACAGGACATGCTCATTTCCTAGATCCTTAGATGATAAAGGACGTGGAGTTCGGTCAGCATTACACATCGTCTTCTCACATTCAAACTGTATAATCTCAAAACTTACTAAATTTTACAGGAGAGTGTTATAAAGGTTTATTAACATATGATATTTTTAATACAGTCAAAACCGTTTACTGCGACATCGCTTAATACAACATGCCGGTTATAATAACCTAGAACAAAGGTCCCGGCTGAATGCCATATGACCGCCTTATTAAAAATATTGCTTTCTACGACATTGGTAATAACGACATACCTCATAAAACGACCACATTTAACTAATATTTCGGAGAATTAGATCTGTTAGAACGACCGGCTAAGCTGTATTGTAAACAATTTGAATAGGTATCCACATTTGTCTTCAATGGCTTTTAAAATCAGGAAAGAAAACAATAGGATTTAGTTTAGTGTAGGGTCTTTTCTAATTCTTAGAAACAAAACACGTGCATGCGGTAGTCAAAGCCCGCTTCTTCATATCTTTTCAGTTATTTTGTTACTTATCTATACACAAGACGCACCAAAACTTTGTGGAGTTATTCGTGAAACTTTCAAAATGTCGCAAAGAAAAATACAACAAATTAATATTAAAGAAAAATCGCGTATTATATAAATATATTTTTCCAATAATTCCCTATCGATTTCTTTGTACTTGCACGATACACATTAAACATCACCGGTTGTTACGACTATCGGTTTTTACGACTGAATATGAGCAGTCCCTTCGATGTCGTTATAACAGATTTTGACTGTATCTATCTTTATCATCTTTGCAACATTTTATTTTTTATTTTTACCAGTTACATCATCTGTCTTTTAAAAGTAAGATAAAATTATGTATTAATTTTGTTAATAGTAGTCAAAATATAGGTAAATAAAAAAAACAAAAAAAAAAAAACTAAGCTACGCTCTTATGACAGTATTTATGAGAAAAATTACTGGTGATACCAAATGATTCCGCATATTAACTCAATTTCGAATATTTTTGGAGATTGTACACTTTTAATGCGAAAAGACGACATGTAACAATACACATACACGGCGATGAAACACGCGGGTAGTTAAACTTTCCTTCTGTGAAGTAGACTTACAACCCGCACCCCGGGGGGAGGGGCGGCCGGTCGAACCTAGCCCCAGTACATCGTGAAGTGCTACCTTCATATTAATGACAAATTAAATGCATTCTTATAGGTGGTAGAACCTCTTGTGAGTCCGCGCGGGTAGGTACCAGCGCCCCGCCTATTTCTGCCGTGAAGCAGTAATGCGTTTCGGTTTGAAGGGTGGGGCAGCCGTTGTAACTATACTTGAGACCTTAGAACTTATATCTCAAGGTGTGTGGCGGCATTTACGTTGTAGATGTCTATGGGTTCCGGTAACCACTTAACGCCAGGTAAGCTGTGAACTCGTCCACCCATGTCAGCATTTAAAAAAAAAATTCTGCGACAAAATAATCTAATTCAACTAGTGTCGTACACAACGCGCTACAGTTCAACAAGACTTGGAGATTATCTTCAATTAAAATATTATGTTATAACGACTTTTTTCATGACACTAATTCAAAATTATTACAGTTTATTAATTCTTGTACATAGTAAAAAACATATGAAAATAACACTTCAACGACAAGGCTACAACAAATTTTTTTTATTTATTTTTAGTCAAAACAGAGAATCACTTTTGTATTGAATTAGAAAACCACATCCGGACTGTGGTACAACAATATTCAAGACAGAGGTCCGGCTCCGATGTACTATGTACAGTACCTTACCTAATACGTCTAGATTATAATTCCTTATCGTTATTACGCCTAAAACAATTTAATTCTTAAAGATTGGTCACACTTGAAATGTTCCGGCGCGACCCCCGCGGGACCGCACGGTGACGTCACCCACGCCGCACACACAGCACGCGGACGCAGTGACGTAACGCTGTTCGGTCACACATCTACAGAGTATATAACACGGATTACTATTTATATATGAAAACTAGCTGTACCCGTCCGCTTTGCTGGGCATTTAAAATTAACATTGTTATTTCTCACCCCCACAAATATTCTCATCATTAACGCCTCCGCAGCCGGTGTAGGGAGTCCAACACTCATATAAATATTAGCCTATCCATTAAGTATATGTACTTTCTACATGTATACCAAGTTTCAAGTCAATTGGATGCATGGTTCAGTAGTTATAACGGAACATCCGTAAAAAACCACTGTAGATTTATATATTAGTATAGATAAAAATTCTTTTGTTTTCAAAATGCAAAACCCTGAAGTATTACGTCACGAGCTGCGCGCTCGGCGCGGTGGCGGCGGGGGGCGCGGCGGACGTGGCGGGCGGGCGCGGGGGGTCGCGGCGGGGGTGGGGGGCGCATCAGAAGCGGGCGCGGATGTAGACGGCGGCCACGTCGTGGTTCGCGTAGCCGAGGCGCTTGGCGTGCTTGAAGATCTCGTTGGTGGTGGCCGTCAGCGGCAGGGACTGCTCCAGTGCGTCGCCCAGCCCCAGCGCCAGCTTGAGGTCCTTCTGCATGTGCGTGAGGGGCTGGTGCGTGGAGTAGGAGGACTCGATCATGGCGCGTCCCTTGAGGATGAGGTGCGGGGAGGCGAGCGGCGTGAGGGCCAGCACGTCGAGCAGGTCGGCCTGGCTGAGCCCCGCGCGGTCGGCCAGCGCCAGCCCCTCGGCCAGCGCGGCCAGCGACACGCCGCCCACCACCTGCAGCACGGAGTTCATCTTCGACGCGTTGCCGATCTCACCTGCAACAAACACGGCGCCCCACTCATTGTAAACTCATGCACTCCATTCCTTAATAATATTATTTTGAATAAAAACATTTTAATTTTATTGTAGTTGATTTTTCTTTATTTTGTTATACCGAATTTTTACTTAATTCTGGCTTAAATTGATCACAAGACTCGCTCAAGTCATCATGTATTATCTTTATGAATTTGAAACCAACTCTACATACTAGAGTACGGTACATAAAATAATAAAAACAAATAATAGCTCGCCATGCAGTAATGTAAGAACGCTTAGATTTAAACGCTGACAGTTATGTAACGGAGGCGGCAACCCTGTAGCCAGCCGCATGGGGCCGGGGTGCGGGGTGCGGGGGGCGGGTGCAGGTCGGGGGGCGGGTGCAGGGTCGGGGGGCGGGGGGACGCTCGGGGGACTGGTGAGTATTTATCAAGCGTACTAGTGCAAATGAGCTGATGATAATCTGTGACTGAAACCCAACCATAACCCATGAACATATGAACATCGTACTTGAGTGTCGCCGCCTTCCTCGACACATGAACTTGAAGTCCCCATAACAGTATAACGGCTGGTTCTACCCTTCCAGCCGCAATGCATATTATCTGCTTTGCTGCAGAAACAAGCAAGACGGCTGTACCTACCCGTGTGGATTTATGAGGTGCCCTACCACCAGTACTACATGAACATTTTGCGATGAGGTAATTATACTTCATTTTGGGACTCTGTGACTTAAGTACGTATATATTTATAAGTAAAATTAGTTACACTCTATCGGTCGCTCGACACGACCACACCGGCCGTCTCATTTGGACTAGAACGGCTTTGAGTTTAAACAAATTTAATTGGATTTTTTGCAAAGAGTATTTGTCGAGTATGGACACCTCTCCAGCACTACCTCTACCAGAGTCCCCTCGACCTACCCCCGCCCCTCACCCGCCTGGGGGTGCGACGCGTACAACTGTCAACGCTCAAGTTTCCTCGCGTCCGAAACCGGACAATCTGACTACTACCAAGGTAAAACGAGTTCTTGCTCATCGCCTTGAAGCAGGACTGGCAGTCGTCGAACAGCGAGCGGTCGCCGGCCGCCAGGACTATGAGGGTGCCCTCCTCCGCCTGCGTTTTCGATCCTTGTATCTGAAAAGGTAAGGTTCAGTTTCATTTCAACGATCAATCAACACAAACAATCTGTCGCGGATCATTTCACAATTAAATATAAATTAATCTTAAGCAACCAATCGAATGTAATTAAATCTTAGTTATATATATTTTTTTTATTTTTGTTGTTAATGCAATTTTTTTTTATTGCTTAGATGGGTGGACGAGCTCACAGCCCACCTGATGTTAAGTGGTTACTGGAGCCCATAGACATCTACAACGTAAATGCGCCACCCACCTTGAGATAAAAGTTCTAAGGTCTCAAGTATAGTTACAACGGCTGCCCCACCCTTCAAACCGAAACGCATTACTGCTTCACGGCAGAAATAGGCAGGGTGGTGGTACCTACCCGTGTGGACTCACAAGAGGTCCTGCCTTTTTAAAGTTAGTGTCACATTACTGACACTAACTTTAAAAAATAGAGTGAATACTGAGAATTGTAGACTGTATTTTAAAATGGATTTTAAGATCTCATTTAAGTTTGTTTACATCTGGACAGAGCTCTTTATCGGACAAGATACAGACAGAGTGGGGTCCTGACCTGGGCCTCGAGGTAGCGGCCGCCCTTGCCGCTGATGGCTTCCACGATGTCGTGCGAGGTGTCGGCGTCGATCGAGGTCATCTCGACGTAGCCCTTGGACTCCAGCGTCGGGCAGTGCAACACGCCGCAGTTACCGAACACCATCTGCAATTTATAATGTTGAACAAAACTGCTTTCTATACACATCTATGTTTCTACATTGAGTAATACACAAACGTTTCTTTGATGAGACACAGCCCATTGAGTTTCTCGCCGGATCTTCTCAGTGGGTCGCGTTTCTGATCCGGTGGTAGATTCTGCGAAGCACTGCTCTTGCTAGGGCTAGTATTAGCGTCACTCCGGTTTGAGCCCCGTGAGCTCACCTACTAGCTAAGGTTACGCTGAAATAGCCTCTCAAGGCTATCAGCTTAGGTAGGGGAAAAAAAAGATGAGAAATCATCTCTTATCAAGTAAGCTCGACTACTTTTTTTTTCTACCTATTAGCCGGTAGCCTAACGAGCTATTCCAGTTTCTCGCCTATGTACTGTACTCGCCTGTACACACCACGCGTCGACGGCGCGCTTTTATCCTACAGAGCGGATTAGTGAACTGACGAACTCAATCTGAGATAATTTGCTAGCACCAGCCCTAGCAAGAGCAGTGCTTCGCTGAATCTACCACCGGGACCAGAATCGCGACCTACTGAGAAAATTCAGTAAGAAACTCGGTAGACAGTGTCTACGGGTACACTTTCTGTAATATTCTGTATATTTCTGATATTTGTATATGTGAGGTTTCGTGATGTTGAGAGTTTACTGTGCGCTCTCCTCCGGAAACCTCGTCAGAGTGGTCAATAAAACACTGACTATAATTGTATGTTTATTCGCCTCAGCAACCGCGGTGGATCGCTGCACGTTAACCACTGACTGGCTAACGTACGTTGCTCATTACTATAAATGCATAATAAGTTAAGCGGGGCGGGGTATCATTCCCCTACATATACATATATTACGTTGTGTACAAATTCAGCACTGTCTTGTTTTGTCGCGCGCACATAACTTACGTTGCAAGCCAGATTTTGTTTCTTTGTATTTGTGTTTTTTATGTATCTTTTTAGCTTGTGATGTGTATTGTGTGCCTAATAATAAATAAATAAAAAAAATTCAAAGTAAATACAAATTTTTCGATATAGACTGAACCACACCAGCCTGTTTTAACGTATTCCTCGTAAATGTAGAGGAGCGGTGAACCATAATGCTCACGCTTAGCGACACATTTTCTCTTTGATATCCTTCTGTCTAACCGAAGACACACAAGATACGTGAATAAATATATTGATGGATGCACGCACTCGATCTATTTCCGTAACGCGCCACGGTTAAAGGTCGGTGGAGAGCGGACACGACAAGGTTGGAAATAGTACCGGCTACTAGGGGGTGGTGGCTTGTCAACAATGACCTCGCAAAGCCATACTTGTTATAAATGTGAAGTGTGTTTGTTTATATGTTCATTTCGTCCTTATTTTACGTCGAAACGCAGCAACGGATTGGCATGTTTGTTTAAAGGAATATTGTTTAGGTCAGGCGAGTGACATTGACTAACTTTTATCCCGAAAAACATCTTAATCCCACGGGAAACTACACTGACTTTTCTTTTACCATGCAGGCGAGGCCGCAAATAGCAGCTAGTGTGTATATAAGACAGAGATCATCGACTTTTTCTTTTAAATAATAATTTACATTTCACATCTATATATTTCATATTAGCAGCCCGCTACGGCTCTGCTCGGGTCTTTAACAAAAATTTCAACGATATTTGACGTTGTTTTAAAATAAAAGAACACTTATTGCGGCATAACTATAATAGTTAAGACATATGCTGTCGCGTCACTTTTTGTATTCTACAAAGTCGTAGTACATTATATTATTCTATCATCAATAGTTTTCGCAGGGCACGCGATGTAAAAATATTTTAGATCATATTTTTACACCTTGGGTACACTATTGGAATTTTAGTAAGGATCCCTAATTTTTTCAAAAAGAGATTATAGCCTATGTCACTCGGGATTAGTGTAGCTTCCAAACAGTGAAAGATTTTTTCAAATCGGTTCAGTAGCTATTCAATACAAACAAACAGACAAATTTTTCCTCTTTATAAAATTCGTATAGATTGATCTCACCTCTTTAGCTGCTTGAGGGTCAGCCACACATGAGAACGTGATGTCGGCTTCCTCCACCACGTCGCATGGTGTCACCGCAATCGTGGCCCCGACCTTCTCAAAGTCTTTGCACTGCAAAAGAATAAGGATACAGTTTACAATTTGTAGATAATAACAGCATTTTCTCCACTAAACATAGTTTGGTTTTCGAGATCTTATCGGGAAACTGAAAATACGAGTTACTTCTTTTATATAAATGGCTCCAACGCCTTAGGCATTGATTTTGTACGAGTGATTACTGAAAAAAAATAATTCATAATGTAATCATAGTCGTCGATAGAAATTTTAAGTTTGGTAGAATTTAAAAAAATTCCGCATCAAACATTTTTAATACAGCGCCACCTATTGCTCCTGAATTCAAATGCTACTGTTTCTAGTCTTCTCTTAGTCCCGCTAGATGGCAGTCACAGTTTGCTGTCACAGTCAGCGCGTCCCTACGTAGATAATCGATAGACGCGTCACGCGGCTCGCTGGCGTCAACGACCGCCACGACCGCCCGACGGCGGCGGCACTCGCTCACAACGACGCCATTTTGATAACGGCTCTATTCACCAAGACGCAAGTCAGGCAATGTGCCCGTTTCTGCACGATTCACAACGCAAAACTAGACACGGTGTCGCTTGCTAGAACACATGTTTTGAGTTCTTTTTGCAGTTCTGATTTTTGTTGTGAATTGATAAACTAATTAAGTTCCACGGAGTTTAACCTACCTACCATTATTATAGATCGGGCTATAAAGTCTATTTTTGTCTGAACCTCCCGAAGCGTTATTACTGTTGACAAAACCATAAACCTCATATTTCGGCAATCCTGGGATCGTAATAATAAACTTCTATTAATAAATGAAACATACGAAGAATTTGGGACAGTTTTGGTTTCATTCGCCTTACTTCAAAATATCAATATGTTGTAATTAGTGAATCACCATAACTATAAGTAGGTACCTATATTATATTATAATAACAGTGATTGAATTTGGACTTTTTAGTACCAACCTAGCTAATCAATTTATAGAACATTTAGGCAATTTAGGTACCTACATAATGAATTTGAAGTTTATGATTTAACGGATAAATATCTGAAAATCTGCAAATGCTCTGTATTTTATGAAATAGCTACGAATAAATTATAATAACGACATTCGCAAGGCAGCGAATACAATTATTTAAGGATATTAAGCTATTTGCTTTATATTCCATATCTGTTCTATTAATCTCAGAAATGAATTACATAATTATTAACCGTTTTTTTTATTTAACTTTACGGTAATTCAATTTCCCTAAGATAAGAAGACAGTCCATATCAATAAAGAGATTATGACCGCTTTTTTATTTTTTCTATGTAGATTTATACTTATCACTAGGTTTTAAATTCAATTTCCCTAAGATAAGAAGACAGTCCAAATCAATAAAGAGATTATGACCGCTTTTTTATTTTTTCTATGTAGATTTATACTTATCACTAGGTTTTAAATTCAATTTCCCTAAGATAAGAAGACAGTCCAAATCAATAAAGAGATTATGACCGCTTTTTTATTTTTTCTATGTAGATTTATACTTATCACTAGGTTTTAAAGCTTAAAGATGACACTTCTTTCAATCGTGAATTAATGCTTATAAATATCCTTCGATCCTGAGGTCCATTCCTTATTTTCTATCTTCACATTGCACATTGTACCCGTTAAAAAACCACTAGTCCTTATTGTTAATAATACCAAGCAAACTCTTACTCTGGATGACAAAGAACACGTCTTCCTGAGGCTGTTATGAGGCTCAAAGCATTTTCACTCAAAATATTGTCTTGGCCAGCGCATAATGTGATCAAACTTGATTAAAACTGAAAGGAGACGGAAAATCGTGGGCCAAAAATGTAATAACTTGGAATGTAGCCTAAAAAATTTGTCATATTTTTTATATAAGAATATAAAAAATCAACTCAATCCTCTTTCTGGGACCGGAGAAAAATGAGAAAGTTAGTTTTTCTCGGTATAACGGTGTGATCGATTTAATTAATCGATTACAGGATTATAAAGAGAAAAATATTGCACTAGGTAATTAATGCAAAGTAATTAAATGAGCGATTTATACTTGTTGTGTACAAGTGCGGTATACGCCGGATTTAATTGCGATTATATACATAAATGAAGAAAAAGTCTATTATTACTTAACAAAGTATAATGATTATCGATTTCAAATCGATTAAAATCGATTGTATTTTTGATGACAGCTTTGACAGTAAGCTGACATGACGTTTGTTCATAGATTAAACAATTGTTTTTTGGCGCTTGTTGGTTTTTTCTGTTCTACTCGCTTTGTATCTTCGACGCATTTTGAGTGTGTATCTATCGGGCTGTTTTTATATTTTCAACGATCACTGCTTTATTATTACGGATTCCAATTCTGCCAGCCTTGTACGACAATTGCTTCTACACTGGACACCGAAGATCGCTCACACGTTTGACTTGAAATTGTTGCATTGGATACTGTTGAAATTATGGATCGCTGTGTGAATTGTGGGATAGCAATTCCATATTCCATACTTGATATATATCATTGATATTCATTCATAATATGACATTTAAAAGATTATCCAATGGATATAATAAACATTTACTTATGCTTAAATAAGTTATTATTCAGCTCTTTTAAAGAGATTGTAACATAACCTAAATTTTACTAAATCTTTATTAACTCTGCTCTCAGATTGAGAAAACTTTTATAATTTTCAGCAAGGTACTGATAAATCTGAATCTATTAATTCATATTAGTTTCATCACGTTACATTCGGGCCCAAAAATGTATGTAATCGTTTCAGTCTCCTTTATGCGCAACAAACTTGAAACCTAGATCTACCGATATCTTGTCGTGATTCAGATAAATAATCTCAATGTTAATATAGAGATCAAATCCTTATTCTTCAGTACCGCAAACCATCGACGCTTATGAGGTGGTTAATAAACGTTATGAATCAGTATGTCATTTAAACGGCTGGACCAAATGACACGCGTCCGAACAAGTTTTTGTAGCTAATTACTTGTAAAGGTCGGCTTAAGGTCAACAAAACAGTTCGCTGGTATATCTGTCCGTTTACCTAACTCGTTACGCTAGAACGCGAAATTTTTGCATTTCAAATGTAGGTAGGTACTCACATAATTTATACATCAAATGTACCGGACGAGGTCGTGTCATTTCTGTGAATTTTGTTATTTCAACGTAATTTATTTAGAAGAATTTTCTAGCGTTTCTAAATAACGCGTAGTAGTATTTTGAAATAATAATTTTACTAATTACTAATGTTGTTAATTTAATTTCTTTTACAATTTAATCATAATTATCCAAGACCTGTGAGAGTCTTGGAAAATGCGAAATTCTATATAGCCAAATATGAAAATTTAAGCAATCAAAAGAAAATAATTATCCTGCAATTCTTTTAATAATCGGATTAACTCTTTTAATAATCGGTGAAACAGAAATCTTAACGGTTTGATTGTTCTAGAAGTATCTTACAATCTATACAAAATGATCGAAATGAGCCTTGTGTTTGACACGTCCTAGATATAAATGGATCAGACTTATAAGAAAGTTTAATGTAACATATGAAAATATATTTAGTACCGTATTTATTCTCAAACTAATACTAAAGTATTCTATTAGGTTTTCGCGAGTCATAGGTATGATTTAAACTATTTTTACGCTTTAATCTTACGGTTATTATTGTCATTAAATACATAGTTTAAATAGTCCACACTGTAAATAATCTTGACCTGATGTGAAATTTGAAGAATGTAAGATTATTAACAAAGTATCAGTCCTAGCACATAAGTCTCCCAAGCAGTCGTTACCTAGCCCCAATATTATCGACCAGCGTTCAACACATATAGGTCACGAACGCAATATGTTATTTCATACGTTAGCAGGATTACTACTGACTAAACTATTTCTGGCGGATAGCACTCGTGTGCACTAGTTTGTACGCCATATTATTACTACTGGTGGTAGGTCCTCTTGTGAGTTCGCACAGGTAGGTACTATCACCCTGCCTATTTCTGCCGTGAAGCAGTAATGCATTTCGGTTTGAAGGGTGGGGCAGTCGTTGTAACTATACTGAGACCTTAGAACTCATATCTCAAGGTCAGTGGCGGCATTTACGTAGTAAATGTCTATGGGCTCCGGTAACCACTAAACACCAAGGTGAACACCACACCGGTAAACACCAAGTGGGCTGTGAGCTTGTCCACCCATCTATGCAATAAAAAAAATCAAAAAATGTTACCCTATAGAAGTGAGCCTTCGAAAATATTATGCCTCTAAGAAGGCAGCGCTACTGAAATTGTAACATTTTAAACAGACATAGATTTCTAAATAGGACAGTTAGCTAGTCTAACGAATTGGCGCACAGAAAATGATATTAATAAATCAATTGACAACAGTGGACGCCACTAACAACCTTGAGACGTAAGGTCAATTATGTTTTAAGAAAAGGTTGTACGAATCGAGCAGTCAATATTGATTAATTAAACCTGATGTTGTTGCATTACTTAATTATCGATTTAAAAATTACTTGAGAGTAAATAAAAAGCAGAAACACGAATACCTTTAAATGAATTTAGTAATTTACGACATTATTAGATACATTGAAAAATATGACTGCAGCATTATTACAAGATTTGGATGTAAGCACTAAACAACAAAGACATCACCATATCGTTTCTTACATTATCGGTTAATTCATCTGCCTTTCTTTAGGAAGAAAGGATTACTGGTTGCCCGTCATCTGGCTTACTGGACAGTAAAATTAATTATAGTTGCTACATGATATTTATTATATTACGTGGTCAGGTGTCAAAAAATCCAATCTTCCTCTTTCATATATCTTTTAGTGCGTAGATAATTAAGAAAATTAGAAAATTAATAAATCTTTAAGGACTTTACGGTAAAACCGCGATTAATCTCTACCATATTTACTGGTGGTAGGACCACTTGTGAGTCCGCGCGGGTAGGTACCACCGCCCTGCCTATTTCTGCCGTGAAGCAGTAATGCGTTTCGGTTTGAAGGGTGGGGTAGCCGTTGTA